AAGGCTTATTTCTGACTTTATGCCATGATAAATGGCAACTTGTAAAAACCAGGCAGACGGTAACTGAACGTGCAGAAGCGATACCCTCGGTTTAATGGCATTTCTCTGGCACTACAATGGGCAGAGTCTGCTCAGCCTGGATTCCTGAATGGCAAAGCCTGGCACGAGATATTATAGCAAAGAGACTCTTAGAGAAAAAACAGTGAAAAGAGCATTTTCTGTCCCCTAGCAGAGGGTCAGCCAATTAATCACTATTATTATTATTAATGGGGTGATTTTTTCTTGACAGCTGTGGCCTTCAAAATGACATCAGGGAAAACCGAATCCATTTGCATTACTTCAGCTAGCCAAATCATTGCAGAAACTTGAAACTAGTTCTGAAAAAATAAAAGCCCAGCAAAAGAGGGACATCAGTGAACTCAGAATGACAGAATAAATGGGCTATTCTGAGCACTCAGCGAAGTATATTTACTGCACTGTATTTACTGTTTTTCAAAAAATGTTAAGATTTCTTTGTTTATTAAATTTGTTGAGAAGCAATGAAATCTCATGCAATTTTATTTTTAAATATCATTTTACTACCCAACAGCAACAGTAAATTCATAAAATAACACGTGATTAACCAGGACTATGAAGTAAAAAGAAATTGTTTGCTTTGTACATTCTTATTAGTCTTGGCTAAGATGTTATAAAAGCAGTATCTTTTAACACCTTTTATTATACAAGGGTCAAGGGGTTTTTATGTTTCTTAAAGAAAGCTTCAAATAGCCCACATAGCAGGTTACTGCATCTTTCATATGGCTGCTGTATAAACAAGCACATTTTACACAGGAAATGACACAACCATGTAAAAGTGTACATGGAGTTTAGGCACATATTCAAACACTAATGGGAATGCATTGTTTTAAATGGCATACTTTTATGTTTACCTATTGAGCTTAGTACCCATATTTTAGCCAAATACAACAAAAATTATCCACACATACCTGTCTTATAGTGTACTGTTTATTTGAAATTTGGACCTTCACAAAGACTCTCATGGGACAGATAATGACCCTAAAAAGTAAATACAAATGAAGCATTCTCAGTGAGAGAGTGAAACCTGCCATCATAAAGGTGGAAAGCTGAACTTTTAACCTGTATTGCTTTACAGCTCAGGTTTCTCTGCATTTCTACCATCCCGTTGCTAACACCAATTCACCCATGGGAAGAAAGCCATAACAATAATTTAGGGTGTCTATCTTTGCACATTTTATAATGACCAGGCTAAAGAAAGTTGTGCCAAACCTGCAATTTCAAGGTCCTCCATTTCTTTCCAGTTCTTTGCTGTGTGTCAGCCCCGAACTGTGCCCTATCCCTAAACCTCTGTGTTCAGAGAGGAATGAGGGCTGAGTGAGGTCCGCCTGGGTTGTGCTTTCGTGCTTATCGGTGATAATGAATGTTTGTAACGGCCACCATTCACACATCTTGGGAAGATTTGATGTGTTTCTGTCCTCACGCCAGATAACTGACACTGTAGATATCCACGTAAAGTCTTGACAAGATTTGCAATGGTTTGTGAGTAGAAATTGAATGGGTATGTGGAATTCAGAACAAAAATGACCGCCCACTGGGACGGCATCTTTTTGTTGCTATTGAAATTTTAAGTGAATTAAGAATAACAAACTGCCTTGAGAAGAGCAGTGAAAGAGGTCACTCCCTTCAACACTGTAGATTTAAGTGATCATAACCATTCACTAAGTATCGTAGAATTAATTACAGAGACAGAAGTCTATGCCAGATGATCCCAATGGCTCAAACAATAAACCAATAAAACACCTATAGGCTAGTTTACATTTACACCATGGTGAAAGTCAGCAGACCACTCCAGAATAAAATAGCGTTGAACTGGAATTCCCAGAGTTATCAAACAATTTCAGTAACGTAAATGCAAAAGGATACTCTGGACATTGCAGCACTGGTTTATAACCAGTGCTATAAACCAAGGATATTAAATTTGAGAGTTAAAAGTGAAAAAACTACCCTAATCCTGCCATCTACTATGCCCACCATTATGAACTCCTCACTTTGAGCTGGACCAAACTTGAGTAGTGCCAGGACCGTCCCTTCTGGATGTCACCAGATTTGAGCTACCAGCTAAGCAAAGTGAATGTCATGTTGCCTCCTAACCCGAACACTTCGACCGCAATTGCTTCTGTTTACAGCAAACCCAATATCTGGCAATTTTGATGCCGTAATAATCCATTATAATTCTAGCATTTTAGTGTCTGTACTTTCAAATTTGTTTAAACTGATATTAAAGACCTACTAGTTGTTTTTTTTTTTTTTTCCTTTTCCCTTCAAGGTATAACTACTACCTAGCAGAATTTTGGTTTTTGAACCATGACCAAAGGGTGCTTTTTAAGACTTCAGTATTTCAGTATTTATTTTAATTTTTTCTCAGTTCATACGGTTCACTTTGGGATAATTGAAAACCTTAGCATTTTTTTCCATTTAGATGCTGATACATACTCAATTTAATTACCATTTACCTGAATCTTTATCTTGCTTTATTCATGTATTGAGAAATTCATACAAGGACAGGAAGCAAGAACCCCAGAGAGATACTTAGGAGGTTTTTAAAACTTTTTATCATGACCAGCCTCACCAGGATCCTCAGGCTGATCAACAGCTCTGCAGCGTGAAGCATATAGCAATTTTCCTTCTCGGATTTCCAAACTAAAATGGATTGCGTGTAACACCAACGCTACCTTCCTCCAAAGCTGTTGCAACATCTCACAAACCCAGCTGGAACTGAAGCAAACTGCCCTTTGCAGGCAGTTATAATCCCAGGAGTTAACTTCTGTTAAGACAACATAGATTTGCTTCAAGTGAATTTAAATAGGCAGTATTTGCTCTTTTAAACTGATCACCCTAAGCCATTGAGGAATGTGCCCGTGTGGTTAATAAATGGCATGGCACAGTTGTGTCTGTCATACGTGAGAACAGAGGTTTCACTGGGAATGTGCAAGCAGGCATACGCATGGGGAGCAGCACTCTTTCACACAAGGAGGAAAGGAGACAACCCTTTCTCATGGTCTTCTAGCCAACCTCTCCGGAAGGTAGCTGTGGTCAGTGCTAAAGAAGGGATCCTTAAAAGTTGCAAGCCAGTCACCTAGAAAACAGCCACCAAGAAGAAAAGAACTGCTTGAACAGAATGGGCAAAACAAGTCTGAGGTGCCCTCTTCGCTGTGGACTGGGCAGGAGAATGTTTTATCTCCTACTGTAGCAATGGTAAATTATATCTAAATAAGCTTGTAGTAAAGCTTAGAATTAAAAACTCCGTGTTGTTTTGAAAGTCATATCGGACTGGCTGGTGATAAGCAGTTAGTGCAGAGGACAGTAACTGTTGGTCCTGGCCTAAGACTCCATCAGGACGAGGAAGAGCAGGACCTGGGAAGCGCACACACTGAGAGTCCAGTAGGAAGACAGAGGAGCCCTGGGGACAGCCCTCACCCACAAAATAGATCCATAAGATGCCAGAATTTCTCATGCACGTGTTACAAAGTAGCTTCAAGTGATCGTCATTCTACATGCCTGTTAACCTGCTAACTAGTAATTCACCCTTCGGTCAAGCACAACCTTCTGACCCATCTCGTTTTGTGTTATCGCATGGCCTGCACCAAGCAATATCAATTCCTGCAGGTAGAAATCATGGCGCTAAGCTATTACAAAGACATCATACATATGAAAGCTCCCCGCAGTGCTTTTTCTTTATCACCGTGCTGTAGGTTATGCAGGTCTGCCTGCAGAGGGGAACCCCATGCGTCTGGCAGCAAGGCTGCTTAACCAGGTATTTTAAGCTGGTTAAAGGCTCAGCTGCCTAGCGAGTGCAGGAGGAAGGGCAGAGCTTTTTGTCACTGTTTCTCTATGGCTATTGACCAGGAATTTAGGACGGTTTGCCGCTAGTGTGAGCTAGAGCATGTTCAGTCTGGGGTATTGACCAGGAGGACCTCAGGGGCCATATTCAGCTCTCTGTCACTACCCACACCAGTGATGCTGTGCAGAGGAGAGCTCAGATACAGAAAGTCATGTGACTTGATGGTTTAAACTGTGATGAAAGAATATCAAAACCTAGCATTTATATTTTATACCACTAATAAGCTACTTCAATAATTTCTGATGGTTCTTACGGCCTTTCTGATCTGTCTACAGTTGAACATCTGGTACCTAGTTTTGTAGGTGGAAACATACCCAGAGTAATCCCACAATGAATTTATAATCCGTGTCTAGAATAGATAAAGGGGATCTGCAAACACACAGCCCTTGGAGGGTGGAATACAAGGATACCAGAGCTCTTTTGCAATCATCTGCTTAACTCATTTTTGCCCCAGCTACATCAAGTGATAGTGGCATTCCCCACCAGCTCAAACCATGCCATACTTTCAGATCTTTCTTCCAATGTTTCCCCAGTTTCTCTCTGTGGCAGCAAAGTTAGAGGCAAGCAAAATACATGGACAGGTTTTGCATACCACTGGTATCCTGCTGCACTGAAAAGTCCCTTTCACGTGTATTTATTGTACGAAAACATTAAAAACAATTTCTTAATAGCATTATAATTATGCAGCGTTGGACAGCTAGACACAATGTAGCACTGTGTCAATAATTTATTACATCTTATGCCATAATTGAACACTTTTACTATGAGCATTTGAGAACAACTTGGACCTTATACAGAGTAATATACCTTGCTACATAATAATGGAAAGGTGGATACTTAAGAAAGATATGTAGCTTGGAGGAAAACATACATGGAAGCAAATAACCTCCTGCATCACCTCCTGCTCCATGTAAAACTTAAAACTAAATCAACATATTCTATTTAATGACTCCTTTTTTATATATGCATAGTTTCAAGAGCTAATCACAAAGAAATCATATTACAGTGTAACTATTTACACCAAGATGGGAGCACACCAGAACACAACCTTCTCTTCTAGACATCAGGACTCTTTTCTTACATTTCTTAATGGACAAAGCACATGGGACTCGGACATAAATTCAGTCTCAAGAACATTGTTCAAAGGCTCAAACAGGTCATATCCACAGCTCACTGATACCATCTTTACCCACTGCCTCGAGGCTAAAAGCAGGCGATCTAGAGGTGTGGCAGTATAATCTTCTCTATCATGGACTTCAGTTAGAGCCGGTCTCGTGTCACCGACACAAGGCCTTCTATCAGGCCGCATGACAGCATCCAAATGTTACTGAAATAAGCCCACGGTGGAGAGACATAGAAGCACTGGATTTATTGCTACATCCTTGTAAACGTACTTACCCTAGAGGTAAGAAGTCTAGTTAACCTTGTTTGAGGAGAGGTTATGTTCAATATGTCATATTACCTTTCATAACATATTCACATGAGCAACTGTTCTGCTACCTACAACCACATGACTCCACCACCATGTCCTCATACTGCTTGTAGACCACGTTGTTTGCAGAGTCAATGAAAAGAATGCTAATAGGACTCAGCCTGGTTGGGACACAGCAAGTCGGGGGTGTCGATTCTGGGTCCATTGAGTTCATTAATGTTTGGATAACTGCGTGATTGGTGGGCTCCAGATGGGATCGAAGGGGAAATTCACAAAGCCCTTCACAGTGATACGCTTCATACTCTAGAGGGGCTATTATCCAGTCATCCCAGCCCATATCCTTAAAATTCACGTGGAGGGCTTTTCTGCTACACCTTGCCTTCAGATTCTTAGTGGGCCTCTTCCCTTGCCGTGTTGCTAGAGGAGCTCTTCTCTTCCGCCTCTGATTGAATAAGTATTCATAAACAGTTTTGTCATCTTGGCCGGATCTAGCTTTGATTTCATTGAAGAATAAGTCTCTTTTTTTTGTCCTCCCAAATACCAAGAAGAGAGCCTTTTCATTGACCTGTCTTCCTGTTCTGTTAAATCCCACACTCCTGAGATCAACAGCTCTCCCCCTGTCAAAAGTTTCCAGTTCAAAACACAAGTTAACCAAGTTTTTAAAGTTCCTGAAAAGTTTCCAGATGTCAAACACTTCCCACTTTGGTGTATCTGTGATACTGACAGTACGAGAGTCCAGGAGTGTTGCTGCTTGTCTGTTTGTAGAGCAACTAAATAACTTCACTTGGGAAGTTTTTCCAGAAGAATGAGACTTCCACGTATCAGAAGGCTTTTTCCTCAATATTCGAAGCTCTGCTCCCAGCAAACCATCTTTTTCTAATGCACTGATGTCAAAAATATATTTTTGTTTTCTTACAGTTGGCGCTCGCTCATCTAAAAAAAGCACACACATTTTAAAATGTATATCAAGCACAGATCAATATCAGTTATTCAATTCTTAATGATTTTCCTGAAGTTTGCTCATAAGCCTAGAAGTTTTCTTAATTAGCCCACCAAACAGAAAAAGCAATTTTTGTCTAAGGGATCAGCTCTGTGCAGGGACCCAGAAGAACTCAGTGAATCAACAGGAAAATGAGTTTCTGAGTTTGCATTGTAGGAATCTCATTTATTTCACCAACAGGCATTTTCTAGCTTCAAAGTAGCAATTAGCCAATTGAAAAATAGTCCTTTTTCAAGGCTGAGCACTCACAGGGCCTATTCACCACTTATATCCTACTTAAATTACCAAAACAGAGCTTCAGTGGTGCCCAGGCCTCATGCTGGCTCCAAACATGAGCAAATTTACCCTTAGACGATACAATAGTGAATTAGTCCTTTAAAACCAACATCCCTCAGGAACTGCCAGACACACGGATAATTGCCTTATTAACTTAACTCCACATGATTCACAACTTTTTCAAATTGCGCAGAAAACCGTACCTCCCTTTAACCTGATGTTACATTTGCTTGGTTAAGCTCATGAGCAGCACTAACAAGGAACATGGCTGAGCCAACATTTTAGCAACGTTACATTAACAATGCCTTCTAGTGGCGAGCTGAGAACCTGAGTGCAGCACTTGTGAGCAGCAGCGTATCATCCCTTCCCAGAAGCCAAGCTATTAATAAATAAATGGCAAATAAATCCAGTTCTGGCTGAGTCTTCCATCACCATTACCTTATCAGCTGTAGCCTGTGTTGCTTCCTTAAGTACCTGACAAAACTCTTACTAACGTCACTGGAAGCAACATGGGGCTCTCCAGCCAGAGTGGTAAGGTGAACATCATTCTTTGGGAGCCTGGTTATTTCTTGTGTGAAAGCAGACACTAGTCCAAATTTCCAAAAAAAGTGTGGAACCAGAATGTTGAACTGCAAATTCTGGAGTCCCAGAAGTTATTTACTCTTGTTAGTCTGTGCTTAGCTGTGGGCTTCTGTGGATAGAAGTTTGGTGGTACCTGAAAGCATGAGCTTCAAGCTAGTACAGATACACCACCCTTTGCTATAATGAATCCGGGGTCTACAGTGCAGTTCCTCTCAATTCTACCTTGAACGAGTCAGGCTGACCCTTTGATACTGAAACTTGGTGGGGTTTTTTTTCATGGAATAGCCCTGTTCTTAGCATATCATGTGTTTTCAGACATACTTTACAATAATCTAATGTTAGCAGTTTCCAGGAGCTAGTTATGGAAAGAAAATAAGACAAAAATGTAAAAGGTTTTCAAACACCTAAGCATGCAAAGACTGATTGATTTTTAACAATATGCATCTAAAATATTTTGTAAATGTTTTGTTTGGCTGCCACACAACCATCTAGATCTGCCTCTAAATGAATTTTCCAAGATAAGGCAGGAAGACAAAATCTGCAGCAGAGTTGTACGATTTCATTTACATTAAAAAGAGCTATTTGACTTTAACAAAGTATGATTATTTTCTAATACTCTCTACATGTATATAGACACTCAGACATCTCTCTCTGTCCACACACACATACACACGAGCTCCCTTCTTACCTTGTCCTTTGTCTATAAAGCTGGTTATTGTATTGGCAAGTCCAGCCTCCAGTTTTACACTTCCATTGACACCTTTTCTTTCTGCATCTGAGAGAGTCCTGTACAAAGAGAGCATGTATTCATGTGGCGTTATAGGGGGATGTCTGAAAGTTTCCTTAGTTTCCCTCTGGGTTATAGGCTCTTTAGTCTTTTTGGTTTTGAAAGAATCAGTGTCAGTACTGCTTGTGCCAGTTTTTTTCAAAGCCACCTTGCTGCTAAGATTTTGAACCTTTGGAGTCACTGTCCTTACTCCAGAAGGTCTGCTGGGAAGATGTCCTACCTTGCCCTCCGTGGCTGCTGTTCTTGAGAGAACCTTCTTTGATTCATCGTTCTTGGCCAACAGAGCTCCAGCCTGAACAGGACTGCTTTTAGTCCTAGCCTTTGAGGTCCCAGTACTATATCCATGGCTTGCAGTCCTCAGTGTACCTGCCCGTGCTGAGGGATTCCTCTCTTTTCCTTCTGCTTTTAAAAAACCTAGTTTAGATCCTGGATTACTCTGGCCTGCTTCAGAATTACTCAGCGCTCCAGGAACTAGATCCAGAGACAGCCAAGTCAAATGCCAAAGCAGTAAAGTGAGAAAATGCAGGATTTTCATCCTCTGGTCTTCCTCTGAATGCCACTAAAGAAAAAATCAGAAAAGGTTCCTCCAGTTTGGCAGAAGAAAACATGAAAGAAATTAAAAACCAAAGTCAGCAAAAATGGTTTTCGTTTGAGATTAAAACATTTCAAATCTCGTTGTTCAATACTTGTATCCAGTCCCATAGTGGAAATGCTCATGTACTCAGATACGATCTCCCCTGACTTCAGTTAGCAGCTATAAAGAACTTGTTCTTGAAAAGAGAAAGTTTACCACCTCGTTTTCTTCTGTAAAACTGACTGAAAACTTGAAGGAGTCCTGTTTAAATCCAAGGGGTTTTTTTCCAAGAAGGAAGAATGGCGTAATGCTGCCTCTGTGTTAAAAGGTTTTTTTAAAGTTTTGAATCCTTTCCAGTGAAAATATTTCACACACAGAGACCTGCAGGTGCTCAGAAATCTTTTACAAACCTGAACTCAGGAATTGGAAACGGAATTCCAACAAACCTATTTAATTACTCTCTGATGTCATGCTGTCTAAACTAATTTAACTGCGATATATTTCTTTAAAAAAATCTTCTTTACCCTTTTCATTAGCATGAGTCATACTCTGCCTCATGTGAAACAGCTCCACAGGCTCAAAACTCCAGAGGATGACTTTTCAAGTGGCAATACGACCTCTACCTTAGCCTTCGGTGAACTTCACGTTTAAACAGGACAAACTGCAAGATCAACAACTGAGACCTGTCATACAGTCCACTGGACACATACATTAAAATATCTAAGTATGATTCGTTTAGCTCTTTTTCCAGAGAACTGTAACAGTGGCTTCACTTTGTCCTCCAGCGACTCAAGGGCTGAGCTGGCAACGCAGGCACTTAACAAGGGTAAAGTTTAATTTTTCACAAACACAACACAGCCATGCCTGCAGTCAGTGGTTTTTGGTGTATTTATTGCTATGCTTTAAAAAAATCCATGTAAGCCCAGGTGGAGGAGAAGCTTCTGCCGGTGGGGATGCCCTGCGGGTGGGCGGCGGCGCAGTGCGGGGCAGCAGTGCACCCTGCAGGCAGCCAACCTCCTCCTCTGGCCGGAGCCGCTCGGGGAGCTGGAGACACTCCCAAAGCCCAGTCTTTCCTCCAGAGGCTGCTGAACGCCAGCCTTTGTTTTAAAATTAGACGCAAAATTTTCAAGAGCCGCCTACCCCACGGCCACAAGAAGGCCGGTAGTTAGAAACCAGCGTTACTTACGTGTCAAGGCTATCCTGCTGCTTTCAGCCGTACAAAAGAGAGTGTGGAGCAAGCGTGTCTGTCATAAGCTGCAAAAAAATGAGCTGTTGTTGTTCTAAATGAGCCTTTGGGAAATGAGGCACTGGGCTGGATTCAACAGGGATTAATGGGACCCTTCTCTCATCTTGCACTGATGCTAAGCCCAGTCCTCCTCCCTCAGTTGTTTTTATTTCTGAAGCAAGAAGGGAAAAGATAGAACACTTTTTAGCTTGATTTGTGCATGCTGTAGCACTTCCCACCCTGACTAATATCAGAAACACCAAACTACTTCCATAAATAACAACCTGCAGCCCTTTCTCCATGAGGAGCTCTGAATGCTCTACCTTGTTTTGATGGAGGAAGTGAAGGATAGAAGAGTTCAGTGATTTCACAGATGTCACAAATAAGGTAGATCCAAAAACCCACCCTCCTGATTTTGATCTAATGGCCCTTCCTCTGATGTCAGTTGTAGTTTTGATATTCCCCATCAAAATAAAGCAGCTTTTCACCGAATTAATTCTGACGAAACCATTCCCCAGCAGTCACTCCACGCTGTCCCCACGGCCCCCCCAACCATGCCATCCTTTTATCCTTCCCACATCGCCCACCTTCCTGCTGGGCAGGAGGTAGTGTGCTGTGTCTGGTTCTGAGCTACGGAGGTATTGATTAGCTTGCCAAAGGCCACAAAACCAGCTAAATGTTGAGTTCCCACTTTTAATCTATCCAGCTTCCAGTTTTCACACCACTTGTAAGAATTTAATATCTTTAAGAGCTCTATTGCTCTATCAAACTTGGCTGAGATTTGCAAACAGATTTACAAATTATTTAAGAGATGGACAGGAAAGAGCAGGAGGTAAGACAATGTGATTACACGGGCCTTGTCTCTTAGTAAATCAGATTAAAAGCACTATCAATCACATGTTCAAACAATATTTACATGTCTGAGATCAATGTATCTTAGTGGGCTGGTCAGGTCTAGACAGAAAAAAAAAGAGCAAAAGCAAGCAAAGCAAGCTGTGCAAACTATTCTCTCTCTTTAGAAGAGGCTCTCTTGAGGCACTCTCCATCTAGGTGCTTGGAGCCATGGAAGGAGGGTTGATGTACAGAGTGCACTGAGCCCCATGGCCCCCGGAGTGGAACATTGGCCTTGAATAAGACCATTCTTGGCCCATTCTGTAAAGGCAGCTCCTCACACAGTGTGTGTAGGGATTCGAAAAGGGAGGACTACCTGGGTCCCTGCTCCTTGGAAGTGCATTGCCTCCTGTTCTCCAGACGGTAAGATTATGGTAAGATTATGTCCACATGAGCTGTCCCACCTTCTCAAACAGACAATTTCAGTGAGTCCCTCTGGACATCCACTCTGGGGAGCCAAAGGAACTGGTGTTGAAAAAGTTGCCATTCCCTGACAATAAAATGCTCTACCCACGTCAACGTACTTGCATGTTCCATGCGACAATGAGGTACACGCTGAAGCCACAGTGCACGGGCCCCTTCCAGGATACAGGCTTCTGTGTATACTTTTCTTTAATGCTTGGGCACAGGCACACACTAACACCTGAAACACACACCTTGTGATCATATTGCCACCTGTAGATGTTTGTCATTGGGATGCCGCACTGCCGCTGAACTCGAGCCAGCTGACATCCTACCCAGTGTTGCAGCAGGCAGCAGCAGGGTCGTTCCAGGGAAAGCTCAGATCACCTGCCTGATCTGCCAGAGGACGCTGTGAAACGAAGGCAGGGGCTGAGCCAAACAGAAAATGCTGGGCTTGCCCACAGAGCCCAGAACTCCCTGGGTGCACTCTAAAATACACCCTATACAGTCGGTAACCCCAGCATGGCTCCAAGGAGGTTCCGTTGGATACGTGATCCCAAGAGTCAGAATTCGTTCACTGCTGCAAACTTGTGGTTTGAGCTGCACATGGAAATCTTTATTCCAGTGATATATCAGGAATTTCATTGTCCTTTCCCAGGTGAACTAATTTCCAGAAAGGACTTATAGGATTTAGTTGAGTAAACTCCATATATTAAGCCATTTGCTGTCACATTGCTTTTCCTTATTGAAACTAATTAACATTTTATTTCTGTGAGAATTTAGACCTCTGCACCATAGCTTTTTGGGGACTGATTTTTAAAAGTATGAAAAGATAACTTTAGGAAGGAACTTAACAGCTCCATGCTTTTTGAAATAAAATAATTACAGAAAACTCAGAGACGCAATAATTAAAAATTGGTCTTGTTTTGGGCCAGAGCAAAACAAAAATAAATTTCCTACTAACATGGGAAATTGTGGCATAATTTTAAAAGACTGTGCTACAATGTTGTGATGATAAATAAAAATTGGAAGTCCAAAGAAAGAATTGTGTCATTGGTTATCAAAAGACTTGGCTATGCCCCTGAAGAGTAGTGAGCTACAGATGCGACAAGCCTAGAGAAAAGCACAGGGGTACTATCCACTACATGTTCTGTCTCAAGAACGCTAGTACTAAAAAGTGTCTGTCTGCTGCAATGATGCATATGTGATAGGTCCAGAAAGTCAGGCACAGCATGAAAAAGGAAACAGCATTTTTGGATGTTACTTGGAATCAATGGAAAGCCAGTTGTCTTGGGATCTGAGTAGTCTCAAAACAGTGAAGATCTGGAACAAGAAAGAATCTCAGGAGACTTTATGCAAGAAGTTCACCTGAAACACTACAGGCAAGAATGAAGCTGGGCCACTGGGAATCAAGCCCCATGATGACAGCCCAGCTGAGGCCGCAGCATTTTGCTAGCAAGGCTGGAGAACTTGTTTCCACTGTAGATCCAAGGACGCAGCAGCCTTAGAGTGCTCAGAGCTCCCCACACCTAGGCACAGCAGGCCCGGAGGTGTGTGAGAGAGTGCATGGTTGGAGCCATCCAGCCGCTTGCTGTGACTCTGACAGGGAGTCCCTTTGGAGACCGAGTCCGACATGGTGCTTAGACACAAGCAGAGGCTCTGAGCTCTTACAGAGCAGCACTTCAGGAAGATATGAAAATTTGAGACAGTGTAAAATAATCCACTGACCCAGCACCACTGCTATACACAGAAGGGCACCATATTTATAGATTGAACTTGTCTAGCTGCAGTTTCAGAAATTTGATTTCTTTCCCATCTTTGTCTCAATTGACTACAATTTATGGCTTTAAATTAACCTCTCCATCTTCTGATCAAGAAGCTAGAGCTCCTTAGCCGCTTCGTATAAAGAGTTTTCAGAGCTCATTCCCTAAACCCTTTTTTGCAATCACTGCTTCACAAGACACTACCCCAGTTCTGAGTATTTTTGGTTTTGCCTAGATTACTAATGATGCTTCAGCTATGTTAAAATACATGGAGCTGAATCCATCTCAATTATATTTAGGCTTCCACTGTGTTGGAGATGATTATCTAGACAGTCTTTTAATAGCCACAAGAAAAATAAGATACACACTAGAACTGTAGAAAGTCACACTTAGCAGTAATGATCTGGTAATTGCTTCACCACCTTGCACCATTTGCACGCAGCCACACTTCCAACTGGCTGCTACGTGCAAGTGAAAATGTCTTCCACACAAACCACTGCGAAGGCTGTGGCAGCTGTGGCTACTTTTGCTGCTATTTACTGGAGTGGTTTTTGCTGGAAAAGCTCAGAGAGCTCTTGGCTTAGCGACACCTTCTGCAGTTCAAGTACTTTTGTCCTTCTCACAGAAACTGCTATAGGCACTCGTCCTACTCGCTGGGTGAGAGCGGGGTGCGCAGGTTATCTTTGCATGCAGAGGACCTTACACAATCACAGACGATTCAGGAGTTTCTCCTCATGCCCAGCAGAAACCCCCGCTGCAATGGGTGATCACCGCTCCGGATTTCCCTGTGTGACCGGCACAACTGATGGCGGGCAGGCTGGCACACACACCCACTACAAGCCAGGCTGCTATTGGCCTTCTTGGCCATTGGTTATTGGAGTGTTGATTGATTGTGGTTTACCCCTCTTTCTCAGTGGTTTATGTTGTGTGGGTTTTGGTTGTCTTGTGAAATGAAGGTGTTTGAGCTTGTCCTTCGTTTGGGTTAGTTTCAATGATGTACCTCTGTGGCATTACCCAAAAAGCCTTTGAAGCAGACCCTACAGCAGCTGGACTGCTGAGGCTTGCGTGCTTCCCAGAGCGATATGGGGGACGCCCGCACCATGATGGAGGAGGAAGGATGAGCAGTCACTGTTGGCTTTTTTTTATCATAAGCACACGAATTGTTACAGGTTATAAATTACAAAACCTCATGACTTTTGTGGTGAATAAGTGAATTCATGTAACAGACTAGTCTGGGCAAAGGAGACTGAACCGTCTTTGTCATGTGTGTTTGTTGCATTTCTTCATGAGCTCATGAAATAAAGTTTCATTCACAGAGGATGTTGTCCTGTGAATTTGAATTTTTCTCTCCCATACCAGTTTTTCTTTAACTGCTTGCAGTCTGTCCCATTCATACTGCAAAACAGGGAGGAAAAGATTAAAGAATTCCATCTACGTATGTTTGGGTTTCCTACTAGATTGGAACTCCTGCTCCAGTGGCAGTCAAGGGCTGAAGTGTAAGCTTTTTCTAGAAAGTTCTAGCTATTCAGTTGGTTTCCCTGCGCGATGGACCTTTTCTGCTCTCACTGCAGTCCCACCCTTTCTTGCCTGAGTGGCCCCATGCCCCCCATCCAACACTTTGGTGTCGGGGACCGTTTCCTCCTGCTCCTTCTCTCCCAGATTCTACAGGGACCGCCTTCTGCCCCAACGTTCTCCGGGACCGTTAACGGTCTCGAGCAGAACTTGCTGGAGCAACCGCAGCCAGGGCGGCCTCTCCCCCGCGGATAGCACCGCAGCCCGGCGCGGCACCGTCAGCGAGAAGCGAAGCGCTGCCAAAGAGCGGCCCCGAGCGAGCCCGGCTCTCCGGCCCCGCGGCCCGGCTCCCGGTCGCGCCCGGCGGGCAGGGTGAGCCGCTCCGCCC